TCGGCATGATAAATGTCTTAACCGACTTACACAAATGCTTGGGTTTATTGTTGTGAGTACTGGATTTTTTTCATGCTAAACCTGTGTACCAGTGTTTTTGTTATTGAAATCAGGTTAACAAGATCATGGCCCTGTCAGATATCCTGACAATAAGGTACCAAAGAGCTGAGCCTGCTTCTGCAGGAACAGGAGGAGGAGGAGGAGGCTGAAGCAGCCTCCTGTTTTGTTTCCATATCAATTCTCTGATCAGGCATAGTAATTTTCTGTCCACCACATACTGTATGGACTAAGATACTAGCTGTTGAGTTTGTGTCAGCTATTAGTGTAGTGTAGATTACGTCTCTGAAACACAACCAGACTGAGAGTCTCAAGTCCTGCTGGGAGATAATGGTAAAATCTAAGGCAGCCTGTGAGAGGGAGATGATAATTGTTTGGAATAACGCATAATGCAATCATGCGTTGCAATGCGTGCAAGCATACAATAGAGAGGAGATGGTCAGTAAAATTTGTCTCCTCCTTATTTCTGCATATTCCCCACGGAATTAAATGTTCTTATGAGTCCATTATGAATATTTTACTCTGTGAGCTTGTTTAGTTGACAGACCAGATAATGAGGTTTTGCACATTCAGATTTGTTGCAAAAAGCAACACTCCTCTAGTTGGTAGCTAAACCTAGCATGTGGCAGCTCACCGCTTGTAAGTACCTCTGGGTCATCCGTCCAGGGCAGCATCCATAGGTATTACGGGGAACATGTAGGTGAAAAACCGTCCCACAATAGCTTTTATGCAATCTATTCTGAATACAACATTATAGTTTCTGGTGACATTCAGTATTGACAACTCATAAGATTATTCTGAAACCTCAAACTCCTGGAAACCTACAATTATGTGAGAATTTCAGCTTTCATTTAAACATCATCTTTATTTTCTTAGTCCTTCTGGTTGCAGAGAAAAGTTTGAAAATGAAACCCAAGAAGCTCAAAAAGCAAAAGCCAAATAAATAGCCCTCCAAATTATTATTTGTTTAAAATCTCGTCATCATTTTAGAAGTCACTCGGGTATTTTAGGGCTTGGTGAAGGATTTAGCTTGAGAGAAGAGACACAGGGAAGAAACATAAACAAATGAATGGCTTAGAGCAGTCAGAATAGTGATTTCTGGCCATGGAGTTGCTCGTGTCTGTAAGGAGGACGTGACAGCATTTTTTCCCAACAGGTAGTACTTCTCCTGCCTGTGGGATAACAGCCCACGGCAGAGACTGGTCACCTCTGGCTTCCCTGTATGTTTTAGAGCAGTCCCTAGCTGCACAGTGAGGCATGTACACTGGCAGACAATGCATGTCTGCTTTCTGTGGCATTCCTTCGAGGAAATTTGGCTGTCCTGCATCAGTCACAGAGCTGACTGGATGATCATGGCATTGGAGCCAGCATGACCATTCCTGTGGGTTTGTAATTCATGAACTTTAAACATTTGGCATTGGTAAGAGTGCGTCTGGCACCATATGCTTACGCTTAGTTGGCCTGGGAGGAGAGGGAAGGGGAAGGAAAAGAGAGAAGAGAAAGAAGCTACTTCACATCTTCAGAACTGCAGGATTCACTTTATAGAGATAGTGTAAGCAAATTTTTAAGTACTCTGGGGATGCTGGTTCTTGTGGCCTGCAGCATTTCAGTTTACAAAACAAATCTGCTTTAAATCCCAGGGAGTAACTAACAGTTGGTGATATCTTCTACTTCCCTCTTTGTAAGCACCTGTTACAATTTCACAAACCTCTGTCCAGTTACGAAATGAAACAAATCTGACTTTTCAAGATTGTCACCATCTTTTGCCCTTGAAGAACAGTGCATAGGTGACTTCTAAAACATTTATTGGCTCTGCCTCCAGTATGAGAGCATCAGGAGCCCACACGATGCCACTTGCAGCTCAGGGGTCCTGTCACCCTGAAGTCACCCTTGCATGGGCTGGCCCTGTGCTGAAATCCAGGCTTAGCATATGATTTGCATCTAAACCGTAGCCAGGATTAGTGGGAAAATTCACCACCAAGTTAATCAGGAGACTCCTAGTGGCTATTGCTGTAATTGGCAAACTGGAGACGAATTTACCTTACAAACCTGTGTTTGTGGCTGAAACGGCAACATAAAAATACAATTTTCTGCTTATGTTTATACTATGTTTATGTTTCTAAACTATTCTGTTTATGTTTAGCTATCATAAGACCATCCCACATCCTAGTGGCTAAAAAAATTATGAAATTATTGTTAATTATCCATTGCCTGCAGCTAGTTTTCTTCATAGGTTAAACAGAAGCTGGAAAAGCAGCCTACAGATGGGAGTCCTGTGCATTTGTACAATTTATAGAGCAGAAATGCTGATGACAGTAGAAATTTGAGCCCTTGAGTGTTACTCTGTATTTCGTAGCCAAATCAAAACTAAATTAAGAAACAAAGATTATTAAAAAGTCTTCTGTGCATGTAATTCTGGCATAATATTATGAGGTGGACATTAAATTCTTCCCTCCGAGACTTTCAGAATCATTAATATATGCTTAAATACAAGTA